GTAACAGTGCGCCGCCGGCCTACTTTCTCACGCGCTCACACACAGAGAAGCAGACGACAATGACAGCGGGTTGGACAATGGCAGACGTGCGCGCTTACAGACGAGCCACACGCGGACCCGATTTCTCGAATTCCGAGCCGCGCGAACGATTCAGGACGCACACGGCGTTTTCCTAATTAATTACCTTAATTAATTATTTAATGATCGCAATTGGAGACAACGCCTAATGCGTCATTTATAGGTGCGCATCGCTGCGTGTTCGCGTGCAGGCGCCACAAGTCCAACATGGGCTATTATATGAAGAGTAATTTCATTTTGCGATCAAATTTTAAGTAATTGACCTGTTAGCAACAGTTTTAACGACACGACTAGCTGTCTTTGTCAAAAAAGAAAAATGGAATGACGTTGCGCAACAAAAACTTGTCAACTAAGACAGCTAAACGCGGTTATCGAAAGTTGCCTGCAGGTTATTTCATGGATTTGATAGTAAAAATAATGTTATCTTAATGTAATCCAGAGTGACGACATTCTGGGTAGGCAATTATAACAAAGAAGTGTTTATTAAGGCAAATCTTTAAGAGCGTTTTCAATAAGTTCCAAAACGAAGTTCGCAAACCTCCTTGGAAGCGGCACCATACTCACAGTACACAGTACGTACTTCAATCTTTTGTTAACTCTGACCATCCTCTCTGTCTTCTTCTTCGTCAACTGTACTACCGTGTTATTTACGTGTAATACCATACACGAAGTAATTGGAAGTACGGACAGGGAACAACAATGACGACAACGAATTGCGAAGTATATCTTTCACTGCGCTCCGACTTCTGGGGTTATTGTATAACAACTTGACATTATAAAGGATATATTATAATGTTATTGTACAGGAGTGGATATAGGCTTTGGGGTTATTGTATAACAACTTGACATTAACAGGGATATATTATAATGTTATTGTACAGGAGTGGATATAGGCTTTGGGGTTATTGTATAACAGCTTGTCATTAACAGGAATAAATCACATGCACGGACATACACAGACACAGACAGACACACAAACTTGCACTCGCGCCCGCCGCAAGCACGCATGCACACACGCACGCACGCATGCACACACACACGCACGCATGCATGCACACACAGACAGCCTGTGACACACACACACACACACGCCCCCGCCCTTCCCCCACCCACACACACAAACACACACACATACGCATAAACACAAACACACACACACACACACACATGCACACACACACACATGCGCACACTCACACACACACACACGCACACTCACGCACGCCCACTCACACGCACACACACACTCACGCACGCACACGCACACAGACACAGACGCACGCACGCACAGACTGTGACACACACACACACGCCCCCACCCCCCTCCCCCCATTCACACACGCCCTCCACACACACAAAGACACGCGCGTGTTTCGCTTTCATTGCTGGCGGTCGTAATGCATTCTTTCCCTCCCGATTGACGTCCTGATATTAGGTCAGTAAGCCGCTTGCCTGATTTCGCTGGTCATTGCATCGTTAAACCCTACAACAACCATAGCGAAAGCGAAACCACTGTTTGTCGCTTTCCCAACACAACGGTGGGAATATGCACATGCTAAACGAGTGCGTACTAGGTCGTCGGTGTTCACAATCAAGTATTGTAGCTAACCCATGGTCAATTGAAGTCGAGAAAACTGCCCAGTAGCGAATTCCTCCAGTAAGCAATAATGGTTTCTTTCTAAGCGTGTTTCCACGGTGGCTGACGTTTGAGAATTATAATTGTACAGGGATATAAATCTGGGCCAGAATTGCTTTATACCGGTACGATATACTGAGAATTGCCGGCTTAAAGGTGCAACCATAGTTAAGATTTTTGAGTTAGTATACGCGTGATTCTATTACTACATAGTTATAAATTTAAACACGCACACACGCACTTAGACATACACACAAGCACGCACACACACGCACAGATACGTACGCACGCACGCACGCGCACACACACGCACGCACGCACGTGCGAACGCACACACACACGCACGCACGTACGAACGCACGCACACACGCACGCACGTACGTACGTACGTACGTACACACGCAAACATTGCCACGCAAATACGACCGCAGAAGCGCGGATTTTCACAAGGTCGGAAATTAACCGATTAACGATATTCTCATGGACGTTTACTCATCGCTACATGTTCATAACTACTTCCTGTATCAGTTCCACCGACACGCGCATGGCCACGTCTAAACGTCTCCCCCGAACTTCTTCAAAAGCAATGTCAGATAAGTCAAATTCTGTATGATTAGATGGCAGAACCTAATATAGCTGTGTATGATCGACAGATACTCGGAAAACACAGCAAAACGAAAGAGAGAATGATGTGCAGCTCAGTTCGTTCATTATAGCTTATGGCATGCACACAGAACCAGTCTAATGCACTCACTGACCCACTCGCTACGTTAAACAAGTTCACGTTTAGCATCATTGCTGGCGACAGGGAGCGCATTCAGTCGCACATATGCATATCCTAACTACTTGAACGCCACTTACGCGAAAGAAAACTGTCGCCGAATCGATGTCAGATATTTCCATTACGAGCTAGAATTCTCTGTTTGGCACATTCCGATTGCTTTATAGTACTTTCACGCTAACGTCGTGCTGTGACCATATATAGAGAGAGTGGACGAGATCTAGAACTCGAACTGCATAAACCCCGTCCGCGAAATACCCCTCGGGTGCAAGGAACTATACAATTAGTACACCGCGCCAACCAGTCGATAAGTTACTAATTCGGACTCACGCTTAAACTCGACTTGAGCGATTAAACTAAGGGTTTATCTTACAGGCGCTCTGGTAGAAAACGGGCGTGAGCGTCGGAAGAATTTAATCTTGAGAAATAAATCATGGGGGAATTTAATCATGAGAAATAAAAGAATTTATTCGGTCGTTTAGACGCGCACGCGCACAATGACCCGCACGCACACACATATGCGCATACTCATACGCGCACGCACACAATGACCCGCACGCACACACATACGAACTCACACGACGTGCTTCGTAAACAATTTGAGTTTCGATCAACATAATATTATGTACTTTCAACGCATTACTCAAAATCGAACCTTTTCGTGTAACTAATGTGACTAAACTTGTAATAAATCAACTTGAAATACATATCAATAAGAAGCGCAACCATGAAAGACACGTTAGGATTGACAGATAAAATTTGAAAAATATTAGAGAATAATTATTATATTAGGTTAAAAATATTATCCATTGCGGAAATGAAACTTGCATACTATATCCCGTTTGTCTCGCAATGGGTGGTCCAAAAGATAATAGAAGAACACAAGGTGTTCTTCTATTATCTTTTGGACCACCCATTGCGAGACAAACGGGATATAGTATGCAAATTATTATATTATCTGCCTACAATACAACCAAGCAAATAGCATTTGAATATCGCCTTACGAGGCGTTCTCAGAAAATAGTGGTATTCTATATACGCAAAGTTATTACTCAAATCATTGTGTTGCCAAAGAACGGCAAATAGACGACGCCGTTTATAATAATATAATATCATAATCCTTCCAATATTCATACATCTTAAAGGGTCATGTAACGTACGTATAGACACGCATAGACGCAAAATAATTCTACTAGTTTGCTCTGCTAGGTGTTGTGTTTGGCGGCAAAATTTAGGCGCGAATGTATCTTTAACATCAAGATAATGGCGATTAAAATGAGGACGCACACTTGCCCCAGAGCCAGTGAACAGGTTAATAGGTTCGAAAAATTTCTATTGTAGAAATTCATAGGGCAGTGTCAATTCTAACACCCAAAACATGTGCCGCCACTGACATGTTTATGCCCGTAGCACATAGGTGGTCGTTTCTGACCCCATCATTTCTCTGAGCACTACAATAATTGCCGGTCGTAAGTTTAGCGTGACTTGCTCCATCGCGAAATGACAACAGCTATTCCTGCGCTCTGTTTAGTATCAATTTTTTAAATGAATAGACAGAGACTATAGCTATTATGTCTCACGCACGTGCGTATGTCTTTACATACGACGTGATTTGCAAATTCGTGAATTAAATCCGCTACCAGAGAAGTTAACTGAAAAACACAGATAAATATATTAATATATATTGTGTGTGTGTGCGTGTGTGCATGTGTGGTAATAAACTGTTGACCGATTCAGTGTTCATTCACTGACCTCTGCTATCATTGCTATCATGTTTCTCTGACCGTTGCTCACTTATACTCGCCAATACGCGTTTTTAGGTAAATTACATGCAATTGTATCGAGCAGTTAAACAGGGTTACGATCTGACAGCATGCATCAGGAAGTGTATCTTTTAGCGTGGATGACCGAGCTATTACGTGTGTCTATATATGGAACCGTTTAGACTCTAATCGGGTGGAAAATGGGCTAAACGACGTTTGAAACGTCTCTTTTTGGAAATAATCATTTAGAGCTACTTACGGAAAAACTACTGGCAGATGTAAAAGTAATCGGCGCAAGTCATTCTGTGGAACTTGTTCTGTTCAGCTTTAATTAGAACAGTTTACAACTAATGACGTAACTGGCATAAATATAGCTCTGTGGGGATTGTGCCGCACGGCTTGGAGATGGCACACTTTAGTTATAATCCGATAAGGAAAGTCACGTGGAAATATTTACTAACGGGGAACGGAGGAAATTTCCTGGGCCGTGAATATATGTATATATATATATATATATATATAATATATATATATATATATATATATATATATATATATATGTTATTATGACCATTAATGACTTTAAAGTTGGGAACACTCCTAATAGAGTATCACCCCTACCGACCGTGTTATGTCGATCATCACTATCACCGATTCCAACACTGACACTGCTTCCACTGCCGCTACCATGAACCATCTACCCTGATGCTCATAGTGACTATTGTCGGTATATGTCTCTTACCCTGCTTCATCGACGAGCTCGAGCCGCGACATCTGCATGCCATCGTGGGCGTAGCAATCGAACACGGAGAGATCGAAGACGCCTGTGAAATAAGAAATTAAAATAGACACGTAAGTTCATACTTCCAGCGAACTTAACAAATCAATTGAGGTAAGTAAAGTCACGGAAACGTGTAATTTCCTTGGGCGAACGATCCAGATATGCTAGTCTATTGTCGTGTCACCTTCCGGGCATAAACCTATTCAGAAAGAGAAGAGAAGAGGAAGAATCACTTAAGCCGACACTGAGGTTGGGCCGATATATGCCCAGCCATAACTGGAAGCGAAAGGTTCAAAGAAGAATCTCTCATGATTACAGCAGATGATGGCATTTTGGAGGGATAGACTGACATTCGTGAATCAACGAACACGCGCCTATATTACGACCAGGTTCATACCTTGATTATCAACCCAGAACACTAGAGTGGCGATGTCCCCAAGATCAAGGACATTGACTGACGTCACGAGCGGATTTCTGCCTTGTACGATCTTCATGTTGCAACTGCTGAACGTGATGGGTGATGACGTCACCGTATTGGGGCTAATGTTTCTGCGAATAAAAGCATGATTGTGGTAATGATAGAAGCGTGGAGCGGTGACAAGCTCAAACTTGTACATAAGGGTCACTAGTACTACTCTAAAAATAGAAGTAGAAATTGATATAGAAGTAGAAGTAGAAGTAGAAGTAGAAGTAGAAGTAGAAGTAGAAGTAGAAGTAGAAGTAGAAGTAGAAGTAGAAGTAGAAGTAGAAGTAGAAGTAGAACTAGAAGTAGAAGTAGAACTAGTAGTAGAAGTAGAAGTAGACGGAGAAGTAGAAGTAGAAGTAGAACTAGCAGTAGAAGTAGAAGTAGAAGTAGAAGTAGAAATAGAAGTAGAAGTTAGAAGTAGAAGTAGAAGTAGAAGTATAAATAGAAATAGCAGGTAAGAAGTAAGCTATATGCAGAGTAGATGCTTATGGAATAACAGGGAACATCTCGTTCACCTGCTGTACTTACGGGACTTGCATGTTGAACTCTAACGTGTCGATCTGCGTCCCCCCAAACCTGCACGAGACATCGTAGGCGCGATCTCCCATCTCGAGGATGCCCCAAGCAAACTCTGCCATCACGATGACGGTGCTGTTATAGAAGGTGCGGGCGTCGTACCCCTCACCCTAGAACAATATTGTAACAGCTATGTACGTCAGCAGGGTAACAGTTACATCATCGGGGCAACAGCTACCTCATCGTGGGGTAGCTACCTCATCAAAGTAACAGCTACCTCATTATGGGGTAGCTACCTCATAAAAGTAACAGCTACGTCATCAGGGTAACCGCTACGTCAGCAGGGCAGCAGGTAGGTCATTAGGGTAACAGCTACGTCATCGCAATAACAACTACGTCATCGTAGTAACAGCTACGTCAGCAGGGTAACAGTTACGTCATCGCAGCTACTTAATTAACGGCAAAGTCGTCGTCACTACCTATTCTCTCATGGGGTAGTGTCGCAATCGATGTCCCCGTTTCAGCAATAGCATGCGAGGTCGTAGACAACAACTAGGTTATAATAAAAATCTATACTATTATAATCCCTTTTCCACTCCCACCAGTAGTTTTAATCTATGTTTAGAGTTTATAGCTAAGCCGCTCACGCTGGTATACATGAGCAACCGCTCTTAGGTAGTCCAGCTCGCAGGCCACTTCATACGGCAAAAGAAGCTTGCGCGCATGCGCACTTAGTCTTTGTCCTTGGCATTAAACGTTGTAATTAGGTGAAGGCAGTTTGGTCCATTCTTCCGGATGTTGTACGCGACGCTAACGACTCGCTGGTCCGACTCTATATAGCTCCGTAAAAAATCGCTTAGAGCGCTTGACAAATATGCGGACGCATGCGTCATTGACATGTAACTAATGTAACAGTGCGCCGCCGGCCTACTTTCTCACGCGCTCACACACAGAGAAGCAGACGACAATGACAGCGGGTTGGACAATGGCAGACGTGCGCGCTTACAGACGAGCCACACCGCGGACCCGATTTCTCGAATTCCGAGCCGCGCCGAACGATGTCACGCACGCGTTTTCCTAATTAATTACCTTAATTAATTATTTAATGATCGCAATTGGAGACAACGCCTAATGGTCATTTATAGGTGCGCATCGCTGCGTGTTCGCGTGCAGGCGACCACACGTCCAACATGGGCTATTATATGAAGAGTAATTTCATTTTGCGAAAATTTCAAGTAATTGACCTGTTAGCAACAGTTTTAACGACACGACTAGCTGTCTTTGTCAAAAAAAGAAAAATGGAATGACGTTGCGCAACAAAATTGTCAACTAAGACAGCTAAACCGGTTATCGAAAGTTGCCTGCAGGTTATTTCATGGATTTGTAGTAAAATAATGTTACTCTTAATGTAACCATGAAATCCGATGACGACATTCTGGGGTAGGCAATTATAACAAAGAAGTGTTTATTAAGCAAATCTTTAAGACGTTTTCAATAAGTTCCAAACGAAGTTCGCAAACTCCTTGGAAGCGGCACCATACTCACAGTACACAGTACCTACTTCAATGCTTTTGTTAACTCTGCCATCTCTTCTCTGTCTTCTTCTATCGTCAACTGTACTACGTGTTATTTACGTGTAATACCATACACGAAGTAATGGAAGTACGGACAAGGAGAACAACAATGACGACAACGAATGCGAAGTAATAAATCTCTATCACTGCGCTCCGACTTCGACGATGAATCTAGCATTGTTACACGCCGCATCTAAACACAAAAACTCTTACCTAATACTAGGAAACGCCAGATAACGGACAGTCATGATCATAGTTTCCATGATGGGCTAGCACTCTTAGCTATTTACCAGCGAATTTTACGCGTAGCACGCGCCCTATATTTCTCGTACATTCGACGCTTATTCCAATTGTTTACAAACACAATCAAGCTCATTACTGCCACACCCGCGCATACCACGAAGGACATATTATATAATATTGCCGTCTTCCCACCAACCAATCTATCTTAACATGTCTATTAATGCGTGGGTCAACGCTAATCATAAACATAAATGAAAACTATTTCAAATACACAGATTAATA